CGGGCGGGGTGACTGGTCCGGAGGTGCCACGCGGTCGAGCGGGGCGACTGGTCCGGAGGAACCACGAGGCTGTTGCTGGTCCGGAGGCGCCACGAAGCTGTCGCTGGTTCGGAAGGTGCTGCGGAGTGAGAGGCCGCCCCCTTTGGGTGGCAAATGATCTGTGAGTGGCAGCGTGGTAAACACTTTGTTTGTTGTGGCTGCTTGTGCTCAGCAAGACTTCCTCGTGATAAAGGACGGCAGCGATGCGGCACTGTTCTGCTAGGTGGCCCCATAGTAGCATGGGAGCAAAACTGAGGACGACGTCTCCCGCTCCCCCCCCCCCTCGTGTATTATGACGTTAAAGGTCACTCAAGCGGCACCCTCCCCCCTCGTGTGTTGTGATGTCAAAGGTCACTCAAGCGGCTCCTTCCCCCACTCGTGTGTTGTGACGTTAAAGGTCACTCAAGCGGCCCCCTCCCCCCTCGTGTGTTGTGATGTTAAAGGTCACTCAAGCGGCTCCCCCCCCCTCGGGTGTTGTGACGCTGCAGGTCACTCAAGCGGCTCCTTCCCCCACTCGTGTGTTGTGACGTTAGAGGTCACTCAAGCGGTTCCTTCCCCCACTCGTGTGTTGTGACGTTACAGGTCACTCAAGCGGCTCCTTCCCCATTCGTGTGTTGTGACGTTAAAGGTCACTCGAGCGGCTCCCTCCCCTACTCGTGTGTGGTGACGTCACAGCGCGCTCAGGCGGCCCCCTCCCCCGCTCGTATGTTGTGATGTTACAGGTCACTCAAGCGGCCCCCTCCCTCATTCGTGTGTTGTGACGTTACAGGTTCCGCTAACGGCCTCCTCCTTCCGCCCGTGTGTTGTGACGTTACAGGTTCTTCTAACGGCCCCCTCCCTCCCCGCCCTCTGCCATGCAGGTGTCGTCGAAGGGCCTACTGCTCTACACGAACCAGGAGTACATGGACGACGCCTCTGGCGCCACCGTGCGCACACTCAGCCTGCCTGTCAGTTCGGAGATGGCGCCCACCTTCAAGGTGGTGGTGTACCACGTGACCGTCGACGGCGAGGTGGTGGCCGACGCCATCAGCGTCCCCGTGGACGGCATCAGCAGCGGTGACGTGAGTGTCGCCCACAGATGGCAGCAGTGCTGCTGGCGGTGCGACGGACCGATTGGGACACACGCTATAGGACAATACTTGTGTAGAAAGTGTGGGGGAGGGGGGAGGTTTTAGCTGAAGCGTTTTGCATCTCTTAGATAACATGCGTGGTACATGCAACGGTTTTTGAAACATGTGAAAAGAAGATGGAATGTGCCGATGTTTGGCGTCATTTTATATCGAAGTGTGCGTTTAGCCATGTGGAAGCCCGGCGATGATCAGGTGGGCGTCTCTGGGGCGTGGATTCCGGCTGAGAACCACGTGACCTTGACCCGCGACGGCCCACGCTATCACCCCTACGACTTGCGCCGGACGACGTGGCGCTGGCCGCGGGGCCGGTTCCTGATGGCCAGCGGACAGCCGTCGTGACTGGGAGTTCGGTCCGCCCCGCCCCGCCCGCCGCCGGCCACGTGTCTGACGCGGCCGCCGTCGTCGCAGATTGGCCTGACCCTGAACCAGAACAAGGATCACTCGAAGGCCACCGTGGGAGGCCGGTGTGCCGCTCGCGTGCCGAGGGTCTCGTTCTTTCGGCCCTGTCCGGCCTGACGCATGACGCGTACCGTGCTGCCGGTGCCTCGGGAGCCTGAGCAAGGCCAGCGTTATGCGCAGCCTCTACTCGTTCGAGAACTCGACCAGGTGCGTGAGTCGCTGACGCCGGCGCGGGTTGGCGCCTCGCGGCATGGCCGTACGCTGACGTTCGCGTGGGTTCAGTCGGCTGGAAGCCACATTGCAAAGTCCCCCGTGTCAAACCGTTGAAGCATCGCACCATGTCTCACTTGTGAGACCGGTGGCACTGCACTGGGCCGCTTGGTTTGTGGGTCGGCGCAGGGCCGTCCTGGTAAGGTGCCGGTGGCCAGACGCTGCACCCCGTGCGGTGAGTGGTATGGTGAGAAGCGTGGATATATTGGCTCTAACATCCCCGGGGGTGTTGGTTCGAAACCCGCGCTAACTGTGGCATTGTCGTGCATTGCGAACCTACTACAATGCCGCTGGCCCCGGGTCCAGGCGTGACAGCAGCTGATGGGGCAAGCGCGTGCCAACGGAAAATCGGTTGAATTTTTGTAGGACTGTCGAGGCCGCAGCGCCAGCTTGCTGCCATGTCCCGACCTGTGCTAGGCCGGTTCCGCAGGCCAGGCGAGCCCGGTGACCCGCCGGCTCAGCAGGACCCCTGCGTTGACCCGTTGCTGACGCCGTCCTCCGTCACCCCTCAGGGTCGATCCACTCCGTGACCCGCCGGTTCCGCGAGGGACTCCATCCGGATGTGGTCAAGTACTTTTCGGCGCCCAACTACGGCACGGACGCCAACCGCACTTTTGCCTTCGCCCAGCTGGTGGTGTTCTCGGACGCCGAGGTGCCCCTGCTGCCCATGACCCTCGCCGGTACGTCACTGGGTGTAGTGCTGTTCTCGGTTGGTGTTCTCGGACGGCGAGGTGCCCCCTTCTGTCCGTGACCCTCGCCGGTACGTCAGCGGGGGCGGCGCTCCGACGTGCCATCTTTGAGCGCCCAAAGACGCAGGCAGACGTGCTGGAATAGTGGTTTCTCAGCAGCGGTCTGTTCGACGTTTCGCTGCTCCCCAGTTTTGTGTCGGGAGAATGCCCATATTATCATTCCCCAGCAGCAGCATGCCACGGACTGTTCGGATATACTCCACCCGACGGTCTGCTGCTAGCGCCCGCCTAGTCCTCTTTGTGTGCCGGCGCGCCGCGCGTCGTCGCCGCGCCGGTCCTGTGGCGTCGGCCGGCAGACCCCGGCGAGACGCGGCAGGCGCTGGCGAAGCAGCCGCCGACTGCCGACAACCTGTGCCGAGAGCCCCTGATCTGCCGCAGCCCAATGCAACGCCAGCCAAGGCCTGCTGCCGTGCCTGACGTCTGGCTGTTACCGCGAGGCCGACCGCTGCGACGGCCGGCGCGCCTGCGTCGACGGCTCCGGACGAGCACGACTGCCCGGGCCGTCGAGGACCGGGACGCGGCGCGGTCCGGCTCGAGCGCAAGAACCGGCTGCGCACGCTCTACAACCAGCGCCAAGGCGACTGGATCTGGCGCGATGTCAATATCGGTGGGTGGGCGCTACCGTCGGCGATACTGGCGTCCGTAGATGCTGACGTCTGTGGCGCTGGCGTCTGTGGCGCTGGTGTCCGCGGGTGCCGTCGTCCGTGGGCGCTGTCGTCCGCGGCGTTGGCGTCTGTGGCGTTGGCGTCCGCGGGTGCTGGCGTCCGTGGCGCTGGTGTCCGCGGCGCTGTCATTTGTCCGCGACGGGGCTGGTCAGCGGTGCAGCGGAGGGATTTTTACTTTGACGGTCCGATTTTGATGTTGGTCGAGTCCCAATCACGCAACAATACGATCGGAAGTCCTACTGAATGCGCTGTCTGCTGATACCTTACCAGATACATTTATGGCATTTTTTAATAGAGCAGACTTGTTTCAGTCAGTCGTCAATCGGTATTGTCTCAAAAGTTTGCAAGCCGGGTGTGGCCATTCGGTGCGATCGTTGGCAGCGGGTGGGTGCGTGGATAGAGCGCTGAGAGTCTGCCGTGTTCAGCTCCGGCTGGATGTGTCGGCGCCGGGGTGGGCTCGGCTCAGCGTTGTGGTGTGCCTCGCGCCAACATGGCCCTCTGTCCGGCCGTGCAGGCTACAAGGCGACCGAAGAGGTGATTCTGAAGGTGCCCAAACAGAACGCCCTCTACTACGTGACCGGCTTCAGTGTCAACCAGCAGAACGGCTTCGCCATCATCGAGCGCCCGGTCGTGGTAAGTTGTGCGGCCTTGGATATTAAATGACTTGACATGAAAGGAATCCCGCGATCTGTTTGAAATAACCCTCTGTGGTCTTTATAACAGAAGAAGCAGCAGTGACCTGTTTACGCCGTATGACCATGCCTTCGGCTGCTCGTCGGCTCCGTCCAGCAACCGTCATGAACCCCCTCCGCTCTCCGCCAGTACAACACGACGACGCCGTTCTACATGCGGATGGAGATGCCGGACCGGTGCCGGCGCGGCGAGCAGGTGGGCGTGCGCGCCGTGCTCACCAACAACGTGGCCCAGGAGATGCTGGCGCTGCTGGTGCTGCCCGCCAGCGACCAGTACCAGTTCGTGCACGTCGAGCCTGACGGCTTCGTGCAGCACTTCCGACCGCGCCTGTCTGGCGGCGCGCACCAGCACCTCGTGCCGGTGGGTGTAGAGGCCGAGCGGCCGGGGCGACGGCTGTGTGCGTGTGTGTGAAGGGGGGATGGGGGGGGGGAAGCATTTCTCTAGGTAAGGGTGTGCCGAGACGGATGACTGATGGTGTTCCTGAAGAGTTCGAGCTTAGACCCTCAAGCTCCCGGTTCACTGATCAGCTTATGCACTTGTTACGAAGTAAAAAATGGATGTCTTCATGTTAAGTTGACAGATCTATAAAATGAAAGGAGGCGGCCGTGTTGAATGTCAATGTTGTGTCTTGTCTTCGTTCTTTGTGGCGGTATGACAGATCACAACGCTATCTTATTGTTACGCCACTTTTTGACGGGACGCCCGTCTTACGGGCGTCCCGCTCCGCCGAGCGCCGCGCCCGACCTGACTTGACCTGACCTGACCTGACGTGGCCTGGACGCCAGCTGCCGCCCTTCACCAGCGTGGAGGTGGACGTGCCGATCGCGCCGCGCATCCAGCAGGGCGAGCTGACCGTCACACTGACGGCCATGACTCAGGTCGGCCGCGAGGACGTCACCCGCACCATGCGGATCGAGGTCAGTCGCCGCCGCTGGGGCGCAGGCAGATGCCGGTGCGGGCCGCGGGGCACGGCGGGGCGCCGCTGGTGTCGTGTGGGGATAGGGCTGTGATTGTGGGATGATTTGTGCGGGGTTTGGTCGCGCCCGCTCTGCGAAACACGCAGTCGCCGACTGTTTTCAGTGAAAGGGAGTGAACCTGTGGCGGTTGCATGTCTGGCATGCCTTTCCGCGCACCTGCCCCACGAACAGCTTGTGCAGCCTTCTTCTCATTGGTAGCCGGTGATGTGAGCGTGTATTGGTGCGGCCGGAGGGAGGAAAGTCGCCACTTCAATTTTGACCCTTTTTGCTTCGTAGAATCACTGGAAAGGTTGTCGCGAGGCGCGTCTAGAATAGAAAAGGGCGTCGTTCAGTTGTAGTAAAAACGGATATGATTCAATGCACAATTCATGTATCGAATCGTAACCAACTTTGTTATTTCGTGCTGGGGCTAAATCCAACTGTTTTTAATTGCAGCTATTGTTGATCTGCAAAGTCGTTGTAAATGTTTGGCGTCACAATGCTTCACAAGTTAATATTTTGACACGCATGTTTGGTTTGGATTTAGGTGGCGCAAATTCTCAGTATTTTGCTGTGCTTAGAGCAGCAGGCGAACGATGCAACAACAGTCGCCGAACAACAGGCAGCCAAGCTGGTTTTTCCATATCATGCAGTCACATGTGTTAACAAGGACACGTGCAGAACACTACTATTTATAGCGTATTTAGCCAGCATCCAGGTTTTCAGCATCCGATACTGGTCCACACTTGTCGATCCTCGAAGCATATACCGCTGCCGTGGGTTCATTTACGATTCTCTTGTTCGTGACTTCCTCCCACGAACTACAACGCTCAAAATGTCGCGGGCGTCTATATGAACCGGCGTGGGCATAGCGGAAACAGATCCGGGGATACTCCTGATTTCTGTGCATTTATCCCACGTCCGTTGTTACCTGGACGTACGGAACGCACGCATTGTACATAGTGTGGCGCACTGCGGCCACGGTCACAGCGTCGAGCGTGCCGTTCCTGACCTCTGACCGGTGTGAAGGTCACGCGGCACCGCCCTTTCCGCCAGCCGGAGGGTGTCACAATCAATAGGCACACGTCGTTCCTGCTCGACCTGAAGAACCGGGCGGTGGAGTTCAAGTACCTGGACGTGATCGTGGAGCAGTCGCCGGTCGTACCGTACGCCTCGTGGCGCCGCTTCGTATTTGACTCGCCCGAAGGTCACGTCACCGTCTCAGGTGGGTGTGATGGTCTCTCGTGGTCACGTCACCGTCTCAGGTGGGTGTGACGGCCTCTCGTGGGTCACGTCACCGTCTCAGGTGGGTGTGACGGCCTCTCGTGGGTCACGTCACCGTCTCAGGTGGGTGTGATGGCCTCTCACGGGTCACGTCACCGTCTCAGACGGATGTGGCGGCCCCTCGTGAGTCACGTCACCGCCCCAGGTGGGTGTGACGGCCCCTTGTGGCTCACTTTACCGTCTGAGGTGGGTGTGACGGCCTCTCGTGGGTCACGTCACCTTCCGGGTGTGACGTGACGGGAGCTGGGGGTTGCAGGAGCCGTCGCACTTCCATACGGACAGCGAAATTCCCGCTGGCGAGTGAGTCACTTACCGTCACATGTGTGACGGGCCTGCTCGTGACATGTGACAGGCGCCCTCCAGACGGAGGCGTCCACCCGCCGCCAGTGACGCCGGCTGTCGCACGCCAGCTGACGAGCGACGGGCGGCGCGGCGCCCGCTGCTCCGGGCCGGGTGACTGCGGTGTTTGCGGACTCATCTGGTCGGCGTGTCTCTGCTGCCACGGGGCGAGCTGACCGCCCTCTGCCCGGCCGCCAGGCGATGTGGTCGGTCCGGTGTTCCCCACCGGCGGCCCGGTCAACACGGAGCTGCTGCTGAACCGGCGGCTCCGCAGCACAGAGGCGTCCGCCTTCGACTTCGGCGCCAACGTCTGGTCGTTGCACTATCTCCGCCTCACCAATCAGTTTAAGCTGAGCTTCGCGCGGAGCATCTTCGACCAGATGAACGTGGACATGGCTGCCATTATGTACCGGTTCGGCAGCGACGGAGCCTACCGCATGTGGGACAGCTCGCCGCCGTCTGTGTGGTGAGGCCGGGCTCGTGCCCTCCCCGCGCGATGCCGTCACCGGGTGGGCGGGCGGTGACAGGGAACGCTTCATTGTCGTGTTTGTACTTATGTGTGCTGAAACTGACCAAAAAATGGAGGCTTCGCAAGGTGGCGTTGTGAAGCAGGCTAAGTTGTTGTTTTTTCGTGGACCGACGAGTTTATCCGGCGATCTTCTTTAAAACCTTTCAAGTAGAGCATGTCGTGTACAACTCTTCCGATTTGCATTGTTAATTTCTTCTCACATAAGCATTATTAATGATAATACTTGACCCATCTAGTTGCTGTTATGCGCCTGTGTGTCTACCACTCCATCGTGTATGCCGAGCCTGTTCATAGGAATTCTTTATACTGCGACGTTTCGCAACACTCCGCACGCATCAGTGCTTTGAACAGTGACCTTGCAGTGGGAGGTTCGGACCGGTGACACAGCGGCGCGTGTGGTGCGCCCGCAGGCTGACGGCCTGGGTCACCCGCATCTTCCAAGAGGCCAAGTTCCAGGACTGGGAGAACTTCCTGTACATTGAGCCGGAAATCATCTCCAAGGCGATGGGCTGGCTGGTCCAGCACCAGGACGTGCGGACCGGTGCCTTCCATGAGACGAGCAACTACAGCATCCCTCTCGACCCCAAGATGAACCCCAAGGTTTGTCGACTCGGAGACGACGACTTGAGGGTATAGGCCAGGACTGTCGGTCGGTCGTGTTTGAAGTGTATATGCTGGGAGCACGGCACCCCGTGGGTGGGCTGGGTGGGCGCGACTGCGTCTGGGTGTCAGCCACTCCGCGACGGGCTTCGGCGTCACGTCGTCTCTGTGTGGCTAGATGCGTCACCGCGGCCGTCCGTGTGATCTCCGCCTCTGACGTCACCACCTCCGCCCTCGTGTCACCGTCACGGGTCGTGTCCGCCGCTGCCGGCCGTGCAATCTCCGCCTCTGACGTCAACACCTCCGCCCTCGCCCTCACCGTCCCGGGCCGTGTCCGCCGCAGTCGTCCCGGCTGGCTGACCCGGTGCCGCTGCGCAACATCTCGCTGACGGCGCAGGCGCTCATCACGCTCTCGGCCACCATCGACGCGCTACAGGGCGACCTGCGCGCGCGCGCCAACGACGCCAAGATCGGCGCCATCAGGCGAGTCTCCGTCGCGGTGCGGCCGCCGGCGGCGTGGGGATGGCGCGGACGCTGTGTGCTGCAGAGGAAAGTTTGTTGGCAATGCCGAACAGGTTGTGTTGAATACAGTGGAGCTGCAGGCGTGTGTTGCTTTACTTGCATTGACGCACGTGTCATTAGCCAAGTGTGCGTCGTGGCCTTCGATTTATTGCATGTAAGCATGTACATGTACACGCACCTATACAATTGATATTTGTGGTGTCGTGTCATGCTTCGTGGCAGCAGTGAGCTGGGTTTTCAGTCCCGTTTCTGTGCCGTCCAGTGGCGACGCGGGCTGGGATTGAGGATTTGCACGATGCATTCCATTTGCGAGTGATCGCGTGCCATGCTGTGATGTGCCAGACACCTGCATCCGTATGTGAAACCTTGCCGCGGGCTGAATTCCCTGCGACGCTGGCCCTTCCTGCCAGCGGAGAGGCAGCCAATGTCATGAAATACACTCAGCAGCGGAGTCGGTGCCGTAGGACCGCAATGGCGACAGCGCCAGGTCCTGTTCCCAGTTGCACATACCGTGAAGTGGACGGCTGTGTGCCCCCGTAGTGATCCGTTGTGTCATTTCATCGTCCGGTATCATGTGGTGATTTGATATCATGCGATAATCTGATATCGTGTGATACTCTGATATCATGTGATAATGTGGTATCATGTGATCATCGGGTATCATGTGATGGTCTGGTGTCATGTGATGATCTGGTATCATGTGATGATCTGGTACCGTGTGACGGTCTGGTATCATCTGAGAACACCCGTCATGTGATGGCGCGCCACCATGCCCGTGATGAGCTTCCCTGCCCTGTTGTGACGTGTCTCGTCCGGCGGCGACAGGTACCTGGAGCAGCAGCTGCCCTCCCTGTCGCGGCCCTACGAGGTGGCCGTCGTGGCGTACGCCCTCAGCCTGGCCAACAGCGGCGAGCGGGATGTAGCCTACAACCTGTTGGATCGCATGAAACGGAAAGTCGGTACGTCTCGTTACGGCAGTCTCTACTATCTGTGGTTGTTAGTGAGCGTGTAGCTCGGGTGTGTGATACAATGTCCCTTCCGTGCCGGCGTCAGCAAAAGGATGACCGCTGGATTGCTTACTTTGCCATTTTTACCGCTTTCACCGTTTAGATTGCCAACATCGTTCGTGATGCTACAGCATTGTGGACTTCTCCCAGCTGGCATTTGCGCCATGAATTAAACCACACTGGCACCATTGATTTTCGCAGCGCCGATGTTGCTGGACGCGTGTATCTGGAAACGTCATTGATCAACGGTTGGTTCCCAAATGGGTTTCGCGCGCTCTGTGCGGCCTGTGCCGCTGGGCGCGTCGCTCACCGCTGACCGTGGCCATCGCGGCAGATGGCATGATCTACTGGTCACCGGCTCCGATCGAGACCAACCGGCTGACCAACGAGAACAGCCAGCGCAACCTGCTGCAGCCCAAGCTGGAGCAGGTGGGTCGGCCTGGCCGCCGTGCCGCCGCTCGGCGCCGCCGCGGGCTCGTGGTCCGCTCAGGGTGGGCCCAGCCTTTACTGGAGGGAATCGCCGAAGTGTGCGTGTGTGAGAACGCCGGGAGGGGAAGCGGGTCGCGTGCGGCCGGAGCCGCTCGCGCTCGGTCGCCACACGGACGCGCCGTGCCGGCCGACACAGCGCCCTGGGGTGCGACGAGACGGCGCGGCCCGCCGCTGATCCCGGCCCACGTCACGTGTACCTGACCCAGAGCCCCGGCCGGTCATGGCGGCCCCCAGCTCCGGCCGAGGAGCGTGCTCCGCCTCAACTGCCCAGCACGCGACCGGCCCAGACCCGACCTGATCTGGCCCGACAGCCTCACGTGAGCCCTGCCCCCCAGCTCTACGACACCCGGGCGGTGGAGACGACGGCGTACGCGCTGCTGGTCTACCTGATCCGCGACGGCATCAACATCGACCAGGAGAAGATGGTGCTGTGGCTCAACACCATGCGGCTTCACGACGGCGGTTTCATCACCACCACGGTGAGCCTACGGCTGGTGGATTCACCGACGCATGGCAGCTGCAGCTAATGCTGCTGACGCTGACGACTTCTGATGGATACCTCCAAGAGTGAAGGCCTCATGCGTAGGAATGGGCGCGAAATGGACGTAATGGTCGAAGCAGCGTCGCAAAATTCATTCATTAGGGTGTCCAGGATGTAAATGAAAATTCTTGCTACCAGAGTACTGGCTCTCCTGTGGCCTCTACACCCAACTCGTCGGCACTAGTCCGCTGCCTTTGACCCCGCACCCAGACATCTGACCTGCCCGGCCCACCTCTACCTTACGATGAATTGGGGTGGTGATAGCGTTGTTTGTGGGGTTGTATAGGTGACATCGTTACGAGCTGACCCATGTGAGAGGGACTGGCATGTCCGTCGGTTCTGTGATGTTCGAACTGTTGTCAAGTAAGCCCAATGGGAATGCTGTTGTTCACTGGCCACTGCAGAGACAGATCATGCGATGGAGCTGCTGACTGCTACTGGCTGTGGTGTCATCTCTGGTATTACGACCCGCTCACATGGTCAAGTGACGTCATCCGGCGCCGGTGTGGCGCCAGTGCCGTGTCGTTTTGCCATAGGCGCCAACCTATCGTCTCATGCCTCCCACTCTCCGCGGGACACCGCTCCCGGCCGTATGACGTCACCCGCGCGCCTATGTGACGTCACACACACACGGCGTGTTTCGGCCAGGACACGCTGGTGGCGCTGCGCGCGCTGGTGGAGTACTCGTACCGGGCTCGTCTGCGGGACATCACCGACATGCGGGTCAGCATCGAGGCCACCGCTTCCGAGCTCGACTCCACCATCGGCATCAACAACGCCACGCTCGCGCGCACGCGCATCCTGCCGGTGAGTGAGCGTCGCTCCCCGCCGGGCTCGGGAGGAGGGGGAGGGGTGGCGCTCGTGAGCGCTGCCTGTCCGGGACGGGGCGCTGCAGAGTTGTCGGGAGCTGGCGATGGGGGCTGAGGCGACGCCGGCACTGCTTGCGTCTTGGTAGAATCGGCCCAAGTACATATGAACGAAGGTCGTTAACTTGGGCAGGTAGGATTGTCAATGCTTGATTAAAAATTAAAGCCCCAGATAATCGTCAGCAGCAAGCCTTAAGTGGCATACCACAACCTGAAGGCATCGCTTCCTTCATTGCAAAATTCGCTCACGTAGCTGGTATGCCCACCCACGCATGCAAAGTATGACTTCAGTATTCCCCAGGTATACAGCGTGCGCACGGTGCGTTCCTTGACCGAGCTGTCGCCTGACGGTGCGCGAGCCTTCCCATGCTTCCCGTCACGCGCCGCGTGGCCGGCAGTTTGAGAACGTCTGGGGCCATCTGAACGTGATCGGCAACGGCGCCGGTCAAGCGGTCGTCCAGCTGGACGTCAACTACGGCGTCGACACGCAGAACGGCATCAAGCGGCCGCCGGCCAAGTCGTTCGAGCTCAGCGTGCGTGAGGACTTCCAGCGCTTCCGCAACAGTCCATCGGCATCGTCGACGTCTGCGCCAAGTGAGCGGGCTGCAGGCTGGGCTCGGATGTGCCGGCGCTGGGGCGCTGGAGTCGCGCGTGTGCGGAGGTTGATTACCGACCGGAAGGGGCCCATCGAGGGTACCGCCCCGGAGGTGACTGATCGAGGTACCGACCGGAGATGACCGCTGCCCGTTTAATGTAGCCTGTCCCGCGGTGGAAGGTGGAGGTGTGAAGGTATCTGCGGTGGAGGGTGTGAAGGTGTTCTGCGATGGAGATATGAAGGTGGTGTTTACGGTGGAGGGTGGTGAAGGTGTTTGCGAAGAGATGTGAAGGGTGTTTGCGGTGGGGTGTGAAGGTGGTTTGCGGTGGAGATGTGAAGGTTTTGCAAGTGGCGGCTATGAAGTGTTGCGCTAGAACGCCTCTCTCATCTTTTGCCACAAATTCGGTGTACATTGATCGCCATCCCACCCCTCAGTTAGCTGTTCTTCAGCACCACGAGTGCCGCCCGTCCTCTAACTCGTCCTCCCCCCCCGCCCCCCCCCCCTCTCCCGTCGGCAGGTGGCTGTTCCTGGACGAGGCTCCCCAGAGCGGCTCGGCCGTGCTCGAGATTGAGAAACCCCACTGGCTACGTGTTGTACCAGCCGGAGGGCGACGCCGTGGTGCACGCGGCACGCGCCGGTCGCGCCCCCCAGCTGCGTGACGTCATCGGCGGCCACGCCTACGGCCACGAGCGCGCCACCACGTGGTTCTTCGACTACGTGAGTGATGGCCAGCGGGCACTCCGGCCGTCGGGTGTTGGGCGTCAGGTCGCCGCTGTCATACGGGATGCGACGAGCGCTCTTTTCTGCTGCTATGGTTGCCGGCCGCCTGGATCATGTGACGCATGGCTTAGTGACACTTCCTACACTCTTTTTTTAGCGGTACTTTCTCGCACTTTCCACGTATTGGGATGTTGTTTGGTTTTTGCGCTCATCCGTCGTCAGGTGTTCGCGGTAAGTCGCGCCTGTAGCGCATTTTCTCCCTAGTGTGTGCGGTGCTGACCTCGGCGCGAAGTCGCCCCGACGCCGCAGTGGCGGCGCGGGAACGGTCTCTAGTGTCGAAGGATGTTCCTGCTTGGTCGCTTCCTCGTTATGTGTTGGAGTCCACGGGCGTGCCGTAGCCGTCATATCTGATGATTAAACTAGACCCCCCGTAACTGGGTTTGATAGTTTCTTTTTTCTTTTCACATATCAATATAGTGGTTCTCAGGGGCTGTCCGTTTCCCAGTCTCTGAAAATACGGCCATGTCATTGGCCGTTTGCGACTATTGCCATGACGCCGGCTCCGGTTGCGCCTCGCCTCAGATTCCCGGCAACGAGACGCTGTGCTTCAACTACACGATCCGCCGCTGGTTCCCGGTGGCCAAACATGACCAAGTACCGGCGCGCCCTGCTGTACGAGCAGTTCCAGCCGGGTGAGTGCGGGGGAGGGGGCGGGGCGTCAGGCCGCGCCGACCACGCGGCGGACCCGGTTGCGCTGGGGTTGGATTGCCGGCTTTGCTGCGAGGGAGTCGGCGACTGCGCAGGTCTGGAGCAGAGAATGCGCGAGGCTTTGTCGCGCGACTGCGCATCCGTGCGCGGGGTTGGAACCGTCTGGAGACGCGGCATTCGATGAGCCGCCGATAGCGTATTTCGGCTCACCTTCAAATGAACGGCGAACACCATTGTTCGGCGTTAAGTGGCTGTGATATTGACTGGTGTCATTTGTCATACAAAAATATCCACTATGCTAGGTCTGGAGTCTACCAAAGGCGGTTGCGGTCGCGGTTCAGTTCCGATTGTTGCACACATCGAAGAGCTGGACAAAGCTTATAAAAGCGTCGTGGTTTAATCTCGTGCCTGACCAATTTTGAGGGATGAAGAGAGGGTATTTTCGAGTTTTTGTCGTGCGGTGCGTGTTGAAGCTATCGCATTCTGTTCAATTGCAAAGCGAGTGAAAAACTAGGTCGAACAACTGATCTGCACGTACGCGCTGACACCGGGCCGGTTCACTCTTTCAGAGCTGTTCGAGATGCAGATGGTGAACTCCAACCGTCCTGCACTGCTCAACATCTGCGAGGTGTGCGGCTCTTACCAGTGCCCCTACTGTCCCTTCTACTCGTCCTCGGGCCTGGCGTCTGCCTCCGCGGCGCTGCTGGCGATGGGCGCCGCTGTTGCGCTCGGCTCGGCCCCCGCTAGGGCCCCCAGCAGGGGCGCGCTCGGGGCTCGCTAGGGTCACCGGCAGCCGGCGCCTCGTCTGCGGCCTCGTTCGGTCGCCGGCCGCCAGGGGGCGCCAGTGTACCGGAGCGGCGCGGGCCCCAGGTGGTCCCCGGGCTGGACCGGACCCGTCACGCTGCGGGGTGTGGACTGGAGCGGGCGAGCAGTCGACGGCTGGCAATCTTGGTAACCTGGCATGATGGTTGTATGGTAATCTGATGCTTTTATTCTTTTGGATGCTTCGATTTGTTACACCCTGTGGGCAGTATTGCCCGTTTTACGAGGCGCACGTATCGCGCCCACGTTTCAAGTGTACCCCCCTCCCCCCCTCCCTAATCCTTCAGGTGCTGCCTTGTATCACATGTACGCTCTTGGTCAGTACTGGCCAGATGACGCTCACTTGCGTCAATTAACGCATTCTACTCCAGTAGCTGTGACGCACTTCGTGTTTTCATGTATCGTATCGGTCCGTTCCGTTGCGTTTCGGCCCGCTCCGAGGATAGCGTATCGGCTCAGCGGCCGTGTGTGGCGCTGGCATAGCCCCGCGCTGGCCAGCATTGGCAGCGCCTTTGTGCAGTGCGTCCGCGGGCTACGCGACAGAATCTCAGCGCGTTTATCAGTGTCCAGTCTTCCATGTGAAGTGAGGCTCAGTCTGTCGACGACACCAAAGTAGCATCTTTCATTCCGCTGTTCGCCATGTTATTCTGCGATCGTCTGCTTGGCACGCTCGTCAGCTGTATAGCTGTGTCCCATCCTGCATCTGTACGGTCTCATGGTGTTAAAGACATCATTTATCGAAACTATGCCAAAATGCATCCAGTTACAGTTAATGCAGCTGTGCGGTAGCTTTAGGTCCTGTTTAGTCGTGAGACCGCATATAGATGCCTGTTCATTGTTCCATGTACTTAAATGAGACGTTCTCTGTAGAAGCCTCGTATAAGGCATCGGCCGCACGTTTGGCTTCCCGTCCTTGATGCTATTTCAAGGCCCCGTGAGGATTACGGGCTACTAAATTGTCCGCCAGCCAGGCCCTCGGGTCTCCTATCTCTGTTACCCCCTGGCAAAGGCGGGCCAACGCAACGCGGCCGGGTGGACGTCGCGTCCAAGAGGGCCTGCTTGTGGTTTTTATGCGACCTTCCATCCGGTGGCCCGCGGACGGAGTCAGCACAGTGGCGAAGGGGAACGCCATGCTGGCGCGTCGTATTGCGCGGGGCCGCCTGCCGCTACCTTTTTTTCTTGCCGACGCTGGGTAAGATGTGGTGGAGCTAAATGTAAACTCCACGTCATTAAATGCGGAATGGATCCAAGCAGAAGGGCACAGCCAGCATCCCCGTTCCTCGGGCACTGGACTCCCTTTTGTCACGTAAGTATCTGATAACCTGTGTTCCTCCATTTACCTCTGCTTTTGCACTTCACACTGCTACCGTTTTTTGCTGGCACGTGCTCACGCCTGTTGAAGGATGCCGCAGCGTGTGCCGTGTTGTGACACGCGTTGCCGCGCCGTCGCCCAGTGTGTGCGGTCGAAACTCGTCGGTCCACACTGTGTTGTCTCGAATCCGCACTTTGTCGGGTTGTAGTTAGGGATCGTCCATACGCACCGTGCTGTCTCGAATCCCCACTTTGTCGGGTTGTATTTAGAGACCGAATCTCGTCCGTCCACTTCGTGTTGTCTCGAATCCGCACTTTGTCGGGTTGTATTTAGGTATCGAATCTCGTCCGTCCACGCATTTTTGACTGGTGTTGATGCCTTGTCGCCCTATACTTGGTACCGAATCTCATCCGTCCGCGCTGTGTTGATGGGCATACTTTGTCGCCCAATATTTGTAATCGAATCCCCTGCCGGGGCAGTTGCGTTAACTGACGCAGCTTAATGCAGGCGCTTCGTAATAAAAGCACTCTCGCGGTGGCGCGTGAATAAATGCTGCGATCGCGGTAAGAAGACAGCGTTGGCGCCGGATCAGACAGGCTGAGCCATTTGCCCCCATTTGCAGTGGGGATAATCGTGCCGATGGAATCCATTTCCGCTTCGACTCGGAGCCAACTGAGTTAATATCGACTCTGACTGGGCAGCGCAAGCCAAGTTGCAGTTGGCCCCGACCCAGGGACAAGGCCTTTTTTTGCATTTACTGCACGCGCATCAACATTAAGTAACAATGATACAGTCCAGTCTGACACCTCCTTTGAGCTGACTCATCGATGAGTCCAGTAACTTTGGTAGGTTAACCACGGGCTTAAACCACAAAGACATCGACAGGAACGGATTCTATCTCTACTGGCAAAGGTCTCGTTAACCGTGGATAGGACTCCCAGACTGCGCGGAGCGGAGGGCAAGTGTACAAACCAGTTTGCCGTAGCGCATGAAGGCCGCGCCGCGGGATCCTACACGCACATTCAAAGGTCCCGGCACGTGCATCGTGTTGAATAATTTCCTCACTATGGGGAGAAAACGAGGGCCCCAGTTGAAATTCCGACCAGCGTGTCGTGCGTCTGACGCATCCGCGGCGTCTGACTCGAGCTGGAACGACGCCAGCACTACACACCGGGCTCTGACCTCTCCTGGCACCAGGAGTCGGGACTGCTGTCCCTAACTATCCACAAAGTACGGACGCTGACCGACAGAACACTACAGTCTCCAGGCGTATCAATCTCCACTTGTATTCCCAATGAGTCACAACACGCTCTCACCACTGCACGCACACGACAGCACGCGCTCGCTCCCACCCCACCAGCCAGCGACCAGCTCGACCGACCGCCCCGCAGTCCCAGTCAGCGCTCGCCCGCTCCACTCAGTGACCTATCTCACCACATAATCAGCCGGATAATCGAACACCTTGGGGAAGTCGCGCACCTCCTGCTCGGTGTAGGAGTCGAGCCGGCGCGGCTGCGGCCGCAGCTGCGTCATCTGGCTGGTCACGTGACGCAGCAGCTCGGCGGGCACCTCGGCGTCGGCCACGAGGTGGAGGCGCGCCATCAGGGGCTTGCGCAGCAGCGTGCCGCCC